TTATACAACAATAATCGCAGTACAGAGTCCTAAAAAAACCGACCTCAAAAGTTCGTAGAATTACATCTATTTGCCAAGTTTTATTGAAATCGGTTACCGGAAAGTGCGCGAAACCGGATTCATCCCCTAGTTCGCCACCCGTAGAGGTGGAATATTTTCTTCAAATTTAAATGAGATCACTACTGAAGTACCCTCTTTCCAACAAAAAGAATCATCAAAATCGGATCACAAATTGCCAGAGTTATTGCGTAATATATATAAAAAAAAAAAAGAAAAAAATACAGTCGAATTGAAAACCTCCTCCTTTTTTTCGGTCGGTCGGTTAAAAAGGACGCGACAACGCTATAAAGATTATATCTCACCAATACTGTGCAGTAGCTGCCTCGCCACAGTTCCAACGTGCATAATAGAATGATGCCTCGCGTGCACCAACAACGCTGTGGCCCGCCATAAGGCGGCTCGATGCGCTGACTCACTACCACTCGTACAACCTTCTTTTAACGCCGTGTACAATCGCTGACCCACTCGCCATAACGCGGCTTCGCCACCGCCTTCGCAACTAACCGACCCCGCCACCTAATAAAGACCATAAACAATATTCATATACATACGCTCAACATACGGGTTAAAAGATTTTACATTTTGTCCGGTGGTACGTCATGGCCAACAGCAGCGGTCAATTAATAAATCCTAATCAACGTCATTGTGAGGTAAAGCGGCAGATATACAAACCATATTTGTGGTGGTTTAGGTTCTCGGTTTTCGCTCAGAGAAAAGTTTAAGGACAATGGTATCAGGACTGTGGCATAACAGTACATTTACTTCAATATTTTGTATGCCCGTAAAAATATACGCAATTTCATTAAGAAAGAAGATATCCACAATTGACTGCCTCCGTGGCCGAACGGTTACCATGCCGGACTGCCACGCAGAGGTCCCGGGCTCGATTCCCGGGCCGGGAGAAATATTTGTATGGAAATATTTGTATGGCCTACATTTATTTCTCTCGTGAGTTTGGGTGTAATTTGTGGTTGTCTATGTGTGTGTCCATGGCACCCGCGACACAGGGTTTCCCTTGTGCGGAGCTATGTTGAGTGTGTGCGTTATTATTATTATTATTATTATTATTATTAATATTAACCTTATAACCTAAGTCCAAACTCATGGTACCACGATTTCGTTTAACTAAGGTAAACGATTCTTTTATGAGGATAAAATAATAAGAATCCGGAGCATATTATTAAGATTATCATTTATTAAGTTTAAAACTTACATTAGATGTATTGAATAGTCATATTACAAAATTGATGACTGTGTGTTAGATAAAGGAGTATGGTAAAGGCAACATGAGTCTAGATTCCACACAAATATTATTCAAATGTGTTTCAAAGTTCCATAGCATTTATGTTTATTTGAAAAGAGCAATCCCTAGAGTGTCTTTCTCGTTCTTCTCAGGGAGGTCAGAACGTGCTAAACGAGAAGTAGCTTAAAAACCGACGTTTTCGTAATGAGTGTAAAAATTTTACCCACGGAATAAATTATTATGAGACCTTGATTTGACTTGACTGGTCTAAGAGAGGCTATAGTTCGCCATGTTGAGGACTTCACACGTTTTTCAACGGTTGTGAACCTTCTTCGTGGTGTAAGTTTCATAACGATGTTTTTCTTCACGGTTAGCGAAAGGTATAACTACTCATTTCAAATGTCACAGTTACATGCCGCTACCGGGATTCGAACCGCCCATCTCTCAATTGAGAAACAATCGCTCATGTTACCGCCGCTAAATATTCTTCACAAACAATAAATAAAAAACATAGTCGTACTAACATTTATAGCATTTACATGGCGATAATTAAAAAAATAATATTTGTATGTTTATTATTTCAAATATTTCGATTAAATTACTCGAATCCTGATGGAAATTACAGGCACATGAGACTTGGCAACTTATGCCTCAGAGTGACAAGCGCAGTGGCAGTGCCCCTCAGTTCTTTGTGATTTGAAGCTCTGAGTGGCACTGCAACTGTTATGGACGGGCGTGTCGCTCACCACCAGGCACACGATTTGCTAGTCCCGTCAATTAATACCTATTATTTAAAAAAAAATCCGTGGTCATGAAATAAATTTAAAACAAAATAAAATAGATTATCATCTATAAGTAATATTTAACTTGACAAGTATTAGGGTAAATTCCAGGTTCTTTTACTTGCCAAATTTCGGTGGCAATGTCTATTATTCAATTATTAATATTCGAGTGTAGTAATCTGAAATATTATTTAATATTTCACGATAATTTATTCGAATACTAAAATAATTTAAATTTACAACGAAATTAGGTAGAAAAGTAACCTGAAAATTACCCGCTAGACCCTTTTTTATTTTATTTTCTTGAATAACTCATGTGGAAAAGTATCTAAATCTAATTTGAGACCTCTCATAACACCCATTCAATACCTGCTTACCTCACCAGCATACCGACTCCTCTGGGAAACTACAGCGAGTAAAGCGGCAGAATCCTGCGTAACGCAAGGCGGACGCTTGTCCAGCGCGGAACGTGGTAACGGAGCAGACATTCTGTTCAGTCCCGCCGCTCCTAGTAACGCTCCAGTCGCAAGAGCCAGTCCCGAATGGTCCCAGAGTGTTGAATTTGGAACCTATCAAGAATAATCAGATTTTGTTTAATTCGGTGTCTCCGACCTAAAACATCAGACACGTTGCGGGTTTGAACTCCACAACTTACGAAAATTTCATGACTATGGATGAATAATAATGGAACACATACGGTACAAACATGCTAATATAAATTTTTATACACATACAAGCTCGCTTTTTAGACAACCTCCAATTGTTAATATTTACGATCGTTGGTGAAATGATTTTCAAAATATACGCATACAAAAATTTGTATGGTGATCAAAATGTCAGTCTGGATATAAATGTTTTATACTCGACTGAAACTACTACCGAAGTATTTGTAATTTTATTTTTATTTGACGTCATAATATTATTTCGACAATATTTTATGTTTGTTTTTAAGTAATACTGTGTGTTTTATATTAACTTTTATTGTTTATCTTAGTTACGAACATATAGTTCTTTGACATTATATTTTAAACTATAATATCGTGACATTGATAATATTAAATAAACGATTGCATTATACATCAAACAAAAATTATGAAAACTTAATAGAAATGAATATTTATACAAACAGAGGCAATTTTTTTATAATCAAGTAGGGCTAGCACGGCGGGGCGCGACTCGCAAGATAGCGACATAAAGCGCGAGATACTGATATTCTCGCTTAGAGGTCTCGCGCTTTAATAATTAATATTGAAAGGTGGGTGGAAGGACAAAAAACTAAAAAAAAACCGTAGTTGCCATGTTATAGAATTAAAAAACAGTTTTTATTATTAGCAACGAGTATTAATGTAAAAAATTAACACCAGTGTCACTATTACAGGGTTCAAGAATACTATTTTCAAGAATCAAATATTTTTTTTCATTTCACCTCGGTTGGTTTTAGTAACAGTAGAGCTCGTTGTGAAAGAGTTCGTCCAGGAAAGTACTGCCACATTACCTATTTCTGGCGCCAAGCAGTAATGGTAGCATAACTGCGTTCCAGTATTGTAGGGTATAAGGGTGCTGGTGAAATAACAGGCACATGGGACTTGTCGACTTACGTCTCAGGGTGACGTGCGCAGTGGCAGTGCCCCTCAGATCTTTGTGATTTAAAGCTGGTACTGCAACTATTATGGACAGACGTGCCGCATCACTCTAGGCTCACGACTAGCTCGTCCCGTCACATGGTATCATAAGAAATAGCTCATTTCAAATTCCGTACCTGATTCAAGTATTCCTGCAAATGCGATCTGGTTGACTGAGGCGCCCACTTCATTGCCTCTTGGACGATACCGTGACAGCGTTCCGCGAAGTCTTTTACTATGCCCTGAGGAAATATAAGTCTCGGTTAAAACATTTTGTTTATACCATTCGTTGATGGTACTTATTTATATTCATAAATCGGTATGATTTTTAGCTATGTTTGATGAACTCTTGTTTTTAAATCATCAGCTCTTTTCTCAGTTACTGTAGGGATCTGACATTTTTTATTACCATATTAGACAACACCATGATGTTGTCTACTAAAATCCGATCCTAGAGTAAGTAACTAAAGCACTTGTGTTATAGAAATTGGAAACAACGACTGTACCATAAGCACCCAGACCCAAGACAATATAGAAAAGTTAGTTTCTACACTGACCGGACCGGGGATCGAACCCGGGATTTCAGAGATGGCGACACATTGAAAACCGGTGTGCAAGCCACTCGACCACAGGATGTTGTCAAAAATTTTATGTTCTTTCCACTTGTCCAATCGGCATGAAATTTGGAATACTATAGTAATCTGCTACCAGGACAATCTGCAAACTACCCAACTTCTCCACCACTTGCAGTACAACTATTGAGTTTGCCCTTTTGGGCTCATTATATAGTACTGAAGAGTTCTCGAACTTACATTTGGCTAATTTTTTACTTTTTGGAGTATGCAGTTTTGTATCGAAATTTTTTCAAATTTGAAGTTTTATAATTAATACTCCAAAAAAGGAAGTGCGATAGTAGTAGATCGTAGAAAAACACATACATGTGATAAACGACTTTATAGAGATAGATACTATATTCTGTCTTTTTTGAAAATAGACTAAAATGACAGTTCATTGCGCAGAAGTGTTGCCCGCTTGTAAGCAGCTAGTGACTGCAGTCGATAAATATTCTATCGACTATCGACTTAACCTTGGTCACGTTTGTACAATAAATAGCCGAACTTGCATCATTTGAGTCATCATCGGCCCATTATTCGTCCAACTACTGGGCACAGATTCATGTGAATTGTCAATTTTTGTAAGTTCATGCATACATATACTGCATTTAGAAATATGTCTACATAAAGAGGAGAAATATTTTGAAGTTTTTCAATTTAATTCAATATCGATAATCAAATCCGCCTGTTGTCATTAAAATGATTGAAATATATGAATAAAAATTGATTTCGACACTGTCAAAATAAGAATAAAGAATACAATAACGCAATTAATAGTCAATAGAACACTGTAACATTCACAATTCAGAGATTTTTGGCAAAGTTTTACCTTCTTTCATAATCTATCGATAAAACTGTCGACAACAACTACATGAATATTAAATTTTTTTATCAACATTGGCAACCCTGCAGATGTCATGTTACTCCGTCTTCAAAAAGAAACAGACTCTAATATCAATCAAATCGATAGCGACTAAACTTACTTCTCTTCCTTCTAAAGTATCTTGTAGTTGTAAAGTGAACTCTGTCCCCGGCACTTTGAGTAAGGGTGTCTCCTGGTTGGCATCCAATTCAAGACTGAAGCTTAGCACTTGGAGAATGTCCAGCATCGACCAGAGAACCTGCAATCAAGCAAATGTTATATCAATGTTCTCAAAGTTATGTTATAAAAGTATCTATTTTACGTAAGAAGAAGCTCAAATATATGAAGGATATTAAAAAAATGCACTCATTCCAATTATATAAAATGGTTTCCCTAGTGCGGGGTTATGAGTATGTGCGTGCGTTAAATTATATAAAAAGAAATTAGAATTCCATATTACGAAAAATTTCTTACAGTTTTGATGTTTTTATTTCTATATGTAATTGCTATCATAGTGTCACCACGGCAATTGATATGCAATACTTGATTAGGACCTTGATTTTATTTTTTTTTCTTATACTAGAATCAGAGAATAAGAAAGTAACGAGAAAAGTCACTCGCCGCCCCTCCCTAGCTTTAGATATCACACCGCGCTCCGCATATTAACGGCTACATTGAAGGAACGGCAACAAGGCTGACAGCAAGCCGTTCGCTAAGGACGATTTTGATGTTTAAACAGTTTAAATTTATTTATTACGAACGTACGTTACTATGTGATGGTCGTGAATTTTTCCATGTACGATTGTTTATCTTCAGGTACTTAATACTTACTGTATGTGCGAGACTCATTTTATTCAGAATTATTGTTCTCTTTCTGTAAATTCATATTTATTTATCACATATATTACGTAATTCATTCATTTTTAATTATTTTTGGCATCGCTCACGCAAACGCAACTCAAAGGCATTCATTTTAAATTTTTGCAACACTATCCTCCCTCTCACCCCAATTAGTAAAAACGGTCCAAGGCTGGCGTGCACTTGATTTGCACTAGTGAGTATAACCAGAAAGGAAACTTGCTCGTTGGAATTCCAGCTTATGCAGGACCATCGTGATGGTCTTCGTTACTTACCCGACAATTCCAAAGCAAGTGCGGAAACCGATCGACAAGTCCAGCAAGCCACTTGTCAGCTACTCGTCTGATCTGCTTGTGTATGTGATTGAAATTGACCAATAGGAACTGCGCGTGGTTTTCTAGCGCCCTCTCTCGCGCCTCGTCTTTTACTTTCTCCGACATACAGTCGAGGAATTTGTGAAATACTTTGTCGCCGACACTGAAACGAGACATAATATTAATAACGTACACACACACAAATTACACCCACAACTCACGAGAGAAATAAATGTATGCTATACAAATATTTCTCCCGGTCCGGGAATCGAACCCGGGACTTCTACGTGGCAGTCCAGCATGGTAACCGGTCGGCCACGGAGACAGTTAAATACAACGTGTGCACGTACATTATAGACAGTATTAACCACTAGGGAACGTCTCTTCGTGATATAAACTTTATGAGCTGTCCGTAAAGTCCATTAGTCATCAAAGCTAACAAGAGGCGTGCGGTGAGATATCAAAATAATGAAAATCTATTGGTTGTTTAAATTTTTTTCGGTTTGAACGATCGTGAAACTTATTTAACTACAAAGTTATATTGGAAAGTATTTTTTCGGATCTAAATCGCGTATAGTATTTTTTTTTTTTTTCAATAAAACTAAGTTATGGTCATTTTTATAGTTACAGTTTACTGTCACAATTTTAAAATTTTCAGCCGTTACTACTTTGTAACAAAATAAAAATATACATTTTGTTTCATTTGTATGTTTTCAATAAAGGTTGAGTAAGGCTATATTAGGAGTCTAAAGTATATTAAGTCGATATTAATTTAATTGCTACTTTATGTCTAATTCTTCTTTACTTAAATATAAACGTTACTATAGCCAGTTATCGTGAAATTTTAAATAGTCATGTAATAATTGTCGACAGTTTTATCGATAGATTGGGAAAGTAGGTAGAATGTTGCCAAAAACGGCTGAATTGTAAATGTCGCCACGTTCTGATGATTACTAATTGCGTTATTGTATACTTTATTCTTATTTTGACAATTGGTATATTATTATCAAAATAAATTTTTAGTCAGACACATTTCAATAACGACAGGTGGATTTCATTATGTACATTAAATTAAAATCTGATTTTTTTAAACACGTCACCTATTTGTATTTTTAATACACATACTTCTAAATTTAGTATACGTATGAATCAATTTTCAAAAAGCAACAATTAAATGAACCTATCCCCATCAGTTGGATGTATAATGGGCCGATAATAAATCAAATTAAACAATTTCGCCTATTTACTTCATAAGCGTAACCAACGTTCAGTCGATAGTCTATATAATATTTTATCATCTACAATCACTAGCTGCTTGCACGCGGGCAACACTTGTGTCATTTCACTCCGTCTTTAAAAAAGACACACTATATTTTATATTTTCACTTTTGTTCTACTAAGTGTGCCGATGTGTGTGCTGTTTTACCTGGCAACGCAAGACCACATGCCGCTCTTGTCTTTATGAAGCGCTGTATCGCTCAAATACTCTATGATTGGCTGCAAGCTTGGTTCCGGGGAATTACACACTCTGAAACAATATAATTACTAACTTCGCAAAGGCTTAAGGACATACATATTATTAGATCCGTGTGCAACACTAGTTTTATGTAAGTGAAATTATTCGTTCTTCTCGTGACCAATTGTTGTAAGTAGCATTCAGCAAATATGTAAGCGTTTTCCGTTTCGGGCTGCAGCTTGTAGCTCGTGTCATACACTTTCTATTAACTACTAACAACTAGTATTAGTAGAGCTTTTTATGACAAAGATCGTCCAGAAAAGTACTGCCACCTTACTGGGGACGCGAGTCAGTCTCTTTTTTTTGAGCATTTCCGGGAGCCAGGCACCACTCTACGGACGTCTGAAGAGGCAACACCAGCCAACCGATACAAATGTGATGATAAAAATGGTCTCTGAATCACTAGCAACGTACGAACAATTTTGCGCTCTAGTATAGAAAGCACATGGACTTAAATGCAATACCAAAATACTAACCTTAAAGTCTCCAACCAATAAACACTCAGCAAAAACATACAAGGCGCAAAAGTCAATTTATTAACAATCACCGAAACGTCAGGGGGATGGTCCAACAAGTTCAAAATTTGCGTTTTCAGTTCCTGAAGCTCTGTTATGGACACGCTATCATTCCTCACAGCTGAGGTGTATTGCAATTCTCTCATTTCAGAACGTAATGATGTTTGCGATGTTAAATATGGTGATTTTACAGCTATTTCTTTTACGCCTGTATACCATTCTTGAGGCCACAGTCCTGTAGATGCGTAAATTCATTGTTAGGTCTTTTGTGATTTTAGTTTTCGAATAGGTAGATATAAAGTTTGTGAACAATAAGTTTTTTTTTTATATATAAGGCAAAAATCTGATAACATACAGTTACGTGCAAAAATATGTATCCACTATATGCGGCCCAAACATGCCGCCAATACTCCAGTTGCGACATAATTTGTGGTAAGTTACATTTATTTATTACATCGTGATTGCGTAGTTCAGTAAATACATATTATTGCGTTTGACTGTACTTAACAACGGCAATATTTTTTTTATTTCTGTTACTTGTTGAGATAACTCCATTATTGATTTTTATCAATCATGTAACATTGACTTACAATTATATGGACGTCGGGTCCGCGCTAAAAAATGTCCGAACTTATAGGGCGTTAAAATCGTATACAGAGCGTCATTCACGCTTTAGTCTTCGTTTGTTCGACTGACAGCGAAGCAAGCAAAATTAGACAGTACTGCGATGACATTACAATTCATATTCAACGTTTTAGCTTTTTCATATTCCTTTACATGTCACTATGTTTAAATAGGTTGACTTGGGACATTTTTTTCGTTGTTTTTGTATTAGACCCGTCGTCCATTTATTTGTAAGTCAATGTCATGTAAAGACATTCTGTAGATTATACTCCGTCCAGCCATTTATTTAACTTTTGCCAGATCGGATTCTAATCAATTAGTGATGTCCTAATGCGTTTTTGATTCGATTTTTTTAACAATCGATTTTATTTATGAAGAAGTTTTAATCCGTGAATGTGAGCGGGCTCAAAAAAGAAGATATTGTCTGATAGGGATCGTGATGTTGCGTTTGACAATTTGTGTACTCAAGAATTAATAATTCATGTTAATGAGGGTTTAAGTGATGATTTCCGTTTATATAGAAAAGAATCCGAGGATTCATTATAAAAATTAATAAGAACTTCTTATAATTATTTATAATTTATTTCATTTCATTACAATTTATTAGACAGGTACTAAACTTTATCAACTTGAATAATCCTTATTACATAATTTGTTGGATCGATAAATATCGGAGCTAAAGAGCACGTCGCATCACTAAAATTACAAAATAAAAGAGTCCAAGAAGTGTTGCATTTTTTTATGTCAATAATTACGGAACTTCGGAGGCACGCATATGTCGAAAGTTAAATAAATAGTTAGACGGAGTACAGTAGGTCGAATTATTAATGGTCTAAATACATTATTCCAACAGTAACTCTAGCACGCAACAACAATGTCCTCTTTTGTTTGCTGAGCTGTCGAAAGGATGATTCACGCCAGACTGTGACGAGCCCGATCTGAAACTGGGCCGTAGCACGACTAATTTGCCTGATCTCAAACTAGGTAATTCCCAGTACTATGAGCACCAGAGCAAAGAAATTAACTCCAGGTCACAACGCAGGACACTAAGGCCAACAGTAATTAAGAATAGTTTAATTTCGCAAATTAGTCTTAACGCAAACTGAATCCGAGATTCCTCATTTAGCAGCAACAGTGCTGACCACTATAAGCTACCGAGGCCGATTTTACTTGTTATTCTATATCTATGTAGCAAGATTCTTTAAAAATTAATTGGAACAACAAAATGCTGCCCTTAGCAATGTCGTGTCATGTGTTTGTATAAAGCCGGATTTACACTTGTCTGTCACGACACACATCACAAGCCGTTACGGGTTGCGACACACTAATATAAATGTAACCATATTAAATGTATGAAACCGATACCGTTCTGACGCGTCATGACACTACACGTCAGACAAATGTAAATCCGGCTTAAGAGACGTAGCCAAATGTGTCAAATGTACATTTAAAAAAATAATTCACAAACCATATAGTTTTCCCAAACATTTTTCTTCGTGTTTATTTATAGTTTTGTCGTAGTAATTTTTTGTCAAAAAGCAAAGAGACAAAACTATGAATCAGCATGGGTAATTATTGGATATATATCGGATAATTATCAAAGAAAATAAATAAGTTGATAACTTCTAACTTTGATTTTAAAGTAATTTCTTGTTGCTTGTTTGTTTGTATTAATTAGCACATTTACTTTTAATTTTTACGTTTCTTTTTTAATCCATTTTGTATTATATTGTTGTCTGTGTGCTGGAAGACATAAACGTTTCATCTGCCTATTTGGTTACTATAAACTTCTATAGAACATGTGTTTCCAAAAATAAATTGGTTATGGATTATGAACATGCTACAACCGAGATTCGGCTAATACAGTGTGAATCATCCCTAAACATTTTAAACACGCATAGTATGAAATTGCATTGCTTCACGTACTAAAGAGCATGTTGTCGACGTAACGCGTGAACACATCACAATTTAATCATAAAGTTTAATAAACAGTACTTGTAATATTGATTGTAATGAACACAAAGAAAAATTCCTTTGATCTGACAGGACTCGAACCAGCGTCTGTGCCATACCAGGGCGACCGCTCTACCAACTGAGCTACAGATCGAATCACCAGCCCCTACGAATTTTTCTTTGTTACAGATCAATGTTTTTGGTTCTAACGACTTTTTGCAGCGCCATCTGTGAGAAAACTGTGAAAGTATTTCCTTCACTCGTTACCGCACCTTTACAGGTACCAGAGATTGACAAGAGATGTCGCTTTATAAATAGTAATATTGATTGTAATGAATATCATGATGATTTACTATCATGATATTCATTAATTATTTTGTGAAATGACTCCACTAGTTTGTTATAATATTAAATGAACACAAAGAAAAATTCCGTCGCCGTCAGATCGAAGGAATATTTCTTTGTGTTCGATCTTTGTGTTAATAACTAAACAATACGTTATTTATTATTACAATAAATTCAAATTGGCAATATGCATAAGGTATAGCAAACATATTTGCATTTCAAGTTCGGCAATTAATCAAAATCCAAAATCGAAACCACTAGAATACACTCGAAAAAAAATCACTCAAAACGAAGCAAAATGAATACATGGCGTCTTTTCTGCAATGCATTCGAGTTTCAGCTCAATACACACAGAGAACAGACACTATTGTCCTACAAATAAATTAAACGCTAACAACGCTACTACACTCGACCTAATTAAAGATATGGGGCCAAGAAAACGGCGAGAATGACATACAGCAAACGTTATAGAGTTTAGCACTGTTTATTATGTATTTGTAAATCTCGATATTACATTTTAGTGTACTTATTCGATATGCCAAAGTTTTGGAAGGAAATGCCGTTTGGGGCGTTATTCATAATATTATTACGCCATGAAACGTCACATTTGGCATTGTCATCTGTTTCAAATAGATGACGCATTTCAAAATTCTACCAAGAAATTTGCAAAACATTGCTTATATATCGAGTTCTTAGGTTTTCGCGATTGTTACACATAGGAAATGATACTATTTTTCCGGATTTAAATCGCGTTTATTTGTTTTTTCAAACAAACCACAGTTTCGCACCCTTTACAGGTCCCATGGTCACGGTTGACTGACCTGTAAAGGGAAAATTCATTTCCTATTGCGTATATACTTCTTTCCCGACCTTACAGACAAAGTGAGTTTTACCTAATATCCTAAGACCTAGCAAAGCCCAATGTACTAAATACAGCCAGGACTAGCAAAGCCCAATGTACTAAATATAGCCAGTATGCCCCGTGTTTTGTATGAAAAACGCGACAGTGATTTTTAAAGTACTTTTCTAGGTACCCTATGGTCATATAAAATAAATAGTGCCAAATTTGAATACGATATTTTCATTACAATGTACACTGGGCGTTTACGTGCTCATAGGAATAACATTGTCTGGGTCTGAATCACTTCACATATTATGTACTATTCGACGTACACGGGGCCTTAGGATGTCAAAATCGTTATAATATGTCTTGTACAGACGCTCTGCTACCATAATCGATGCCCTTCTCTCCCGTTCCCTGGCCCCACAAAGCACAACTCGTGTAAAATAAACTTCACACACTACCACCAGCTAAGTACAGTCGTAGTTACAGCCGTTGTACAGTCGGCTACAATATTACAAACTAGTGTTATTAATGTGGTTACTTTGGTGGAGCTAAATATTCATATAATCACACACTTTATGAACTTATTTTCTGTAACGTTAATAAGTCTGATGTCAAAATTATGAAGTCGTCATTTTTTAGACCTGGCTACACAAATGTAACAACACCAAAAACCATATTAAAAAACGAATTAATCAAATCAAAAACCAAACAACACATCTATTCTCTATAAGCATCATTTACTCACGCTTTCGCATTGCTATTGGCGTGGCCATAGAAGAAGAGACAATAAGATTTTTAAGTATATCTAATAAACAATACACTTATGTAAATAAACGTTAGTTAAGTCAGACATACGATTACAAATATATTTTGCGGTTCTCAAAGGAAATCTCCTACATAAGAATGCCTGGAAAAATATGCAGATGCATAGAATGGCTCCTTGCCGTCTTTGTACAGCGGTCTTTTTGCGATTTAACAAGTAAATGCATGTTAAATATTCCATAAAGTCATTTGTTAAGGTATAAATCAGTTTTCATAGGTTAATGCCATTATATAGGATAATGCCATTTTTTAACCATGGTGACAACAACAATTAAAAAAATTGCCATTAACACAAGTCAAAACACAAGCTGTCCTTTTTTATCATAAATTTTCATGATTCAACTACACTACGTAATGACGTTACTGCATCGACCCTGTACGGGACTCATCAACACACGTATACTTTTACTTATGTATTCACATTAACTCTTGTTAATTGACTTATAGAACTAAAAACTTCAGCTATAACATTTCTGGCAATTTCTGATCGCACTGAGTGGACGTCTCACCCGAATTGATATTAGAATCAATATACAAGACCCAAATTTGATAAAAAAAAAAGTTAAAATCTTTGATTTGGGTAAAGCATTTGACTTTGTGGCTTACTATTTTACAAATTCTAATATTTTAATAATATTATAGACAATTTTCTGTAAAAAAAAAAAATGAAATGTAATGTCGTTCCGATAAAAATATCGTTAAATGGTTTTCAACTGGGCACAGGTTTCCAATATAAAAAGTTTTACGTTGCTAACAGCAAAATAATTTTGTAACCGTGTGTCAAATTTTGAAACGTAGAGATCAATAGCAAAGATAAAGAGGGTGCTGTAAATATTTAGAGTAATAAGTGTTCATACACACGTAAAAGTACCCAATGGCCGCATCTTAATGGCAGTTCATTCTGGCAATAAAAGATTGTCTATACACCAAAAGTTAATATAACACAAAGGCGACCCCTGTGGTACCTTTACTTGCGCACTAACACCTATATTTGTTGTTTCATTTTCTTATACACAATATAATAAAATTAAGAAGAAAGTTTTAAGTACCTGAGTCTGCTGCAGTGAATCCCATTACAACGCAGTATAGCCAAAAATCTTTAAAAAGCTTGTGCAATCTTGGCTTCGGGTTTTTTATATGCGGCAATCTTTTGACTAAGACCTGTAACAAAAAACATCGTGACATAAAATGCCATAAATATTGAATATAATCAAATAGCAGTTAACGCTGAAAGATTGTATAGTATAAATAACATGACGGGCTCAGGAATGCTCCTTGCGAAACTCTTTTGAAAAGAGAACTTCTGTATACGATTATGAATACAAAGATAAACACCCAAAAATTTTTTTTCGTCGACCCGGTGGGACTTCTGTATACTTTGTTTTTTCCAGGACGGAGTAAAATGACAGTTCATTCATCAAAAGTTCACAAATTGATTCCTATACCATTGGGCCAACTGTCAAAATAAAAATAAAGAATGCGATAACACAATTATCATTAGAAAGAACGTCATGACATTCACTATTGACATATATCTTTTTTTTTTTATTTGTATCTTTTTTTCACAAACTAACGATAAAACTGTCGACAGCAATTACATGACTATTTAAAATTTTACGAAAATTGGCAACCCTGCAAATATCATTTTATATCATCTTAAAAAAAGACAGACTATAACAGTACGTGTGTGGTCATCACATGTTGTTTGAATGGTGATAACTCGTTCTTCACACTTATGAGTACCTACCTATATCGTCACTTTTATTGATATCTGGTTCTCTCTTCATCTCCCCCTGTCCTTGGCATCGCTCTACTAATAGGTGCCATCCATGGCTATTTAAATTAATTGTCTCTATTGGCGGTATACTCAAGGTTTTATCACGTAATTAATATAATATATAAAATTAAATATATAATAATAAGACTGGCTATGCCTCCTCAAAAGAGACTACAAAACTGGGGAGCAGACTTCCTATGTTTATTGATTGGAGAAAGAAAATAAACACTCACCGCAATGACTGGTATAAGAACACCAAGATTCCCCGCACTGCCGGAAGCTTTGAGTACGGGTGCGGGTGATCGATCGGTAGCTCGTTCACCGCCAAGTCCCAGCTGTACGAATAACTCGAGAAGTCGAGTTAGAAGTTCCAAGCGAGCATTCGTGCCGCGAACATTCGCTGCGATGTTCGCGAGCGCATTTAAAACTGCACCGGACACATGTCTGTAACATCACACAAACATAGTTGATAAGATTTAGATATAGTCATTCGTCATTGTTATTAGGACTTAAGGCCTACACGTTGGAGCTTTTTCGTTAATAATAACAGAGTCACCTTAAACCACTTAGAAATAGCTTTATGTCCATGTAACGAGAGTGAACAAAACTTCGCTCCTTTTTTATAATATCTAGTGACGGGACGAACAAGTCGTGGGCCTGGTGGTACACTACACGCCTATCCATAAGAGTTACAGTGACACTCAGAACTTTTAATCTCAAAGATCTTAGGGGCACTGCCACTGCGCCCGTCACCCTGAAACATAAGTTGACAAGTCCCACGTGCCTGTAATTTCACCAAATCGCTTTGTCGGTCCGAGCGCAGCGAGAGGTTGCGCATACTGTCTGTACGGGAACAGTTTCACGTAGATCACTAATACGCATACATATGCAAACACGTACTTGTACTTCGTGCAAGTTTACATACGATGTTTCTCGACTGTATGGTCGGATTTCTAAGGCGGACTTTAGTAGCGTCAATGACGCTACAGAAGCCACGCGCTGATCTAAGTGTCGCTCAAGGAGCGTAACTCGTACCTATATTGTTTCTTATCATCAGTGTGATGATAAGCAGCACTGGCAGCTTCCACGGTGATGACAGTGAACATTCGCATAATCTCATCGTGAGCAGGGCCTTTGGGGCTAGCTAGGGCCATGCAGCCCAGCTGGTCGACAATCAGAGTATCCAGCGATGATGGGGCGCGGCACAACCTGGAGAAAAGAGTATGGTAACCGAAGAATATTTTACGCGGACATGCCATGACTGCAAGTTGTGTACTTTCTAGAAGTTTGTAACAATTTTTATCTTTAATTGCATATATTTGTTTTTTTTTTGTTCCTTTCAAACAAACTAACGGGACAATAACACCAAGTCGTCAGGTAACTCTCGGTTGCCCGTCAAAGGCAGCAAGCTACCCGGTGTAAATTATGAGTAGTCTGACAATGGTAGTTTACCGCAGAAGTCGGTTGAAGCGACGGGGTGCGTCGCCTTCGGCAAGGCGAGGTATTGTGTCAAACGCGACAGACGATTGTTTATATTAGTGACGATCACATGCCTTGATATTATATTTTAAACTGTGACATTATTATTCTAGTCTATATACTTGACTTAATGAAATCAAATTCAAAATTCTTGACAGTCTTACCTCTGTTGAAAGAACTGTAGTATGGTATCTGTAGTCTTCGGTGTGTCTTTTAAAGCAACTGCCACGTGACCCAACATGATGACGATGTTGGTGCTTATGAGTGACGATTCACTGAAAACATTTAGTAAATGAAATAAACATTTGAAATAGTCGACTAGGCCACGATGAAATCAGGAAACGCCTATTATAAATATTTGCGATTCTAAGGCAGCATTGTTAAAATCGCAAATGCGATGCCGGTATCTCCTATCCTTGAATTGGATATATTAACAGGCGGATTCTGCAGAGCAAGTTGTACACTACGAGTAATATACAGGGTTTAAAATTATCAAGTTATTTATTGTGTACACTTTTAAACTTTCGCGTTAAATTGTACTAACATTTGAACACGGGAATAAACGCGTTTGATTCTATTTTCAAATATTTATTATATTTATTAATTATCTGATATTTATCCTTGCTGAATTGCCTTTTTTTGTCTCATGAATTTATAACTAAAAATGACAAATAGAGACAAAACTAAATAAACATGAAGAAAAATCTTTAGGAAAACGATTTGATATGTAACTTTTTTCTTTAGATTGACATTTGACACATTCGGATACGTCTCTATTACAAACACATGGCACAACTAGCGGTAGCATTTTTTGTTCCAAGTAATTTTATAAATATTAAAATAATTATCAAGGCATGTTTATCAAGATAATTTGTCGTCATAATTATCATATATCAATGGTAATTATCACTTCGAACCCGTCTAATATAATAAAAAAAACTAATAATAAAGTGATCTCACAAATATAACTTTAAACAAAAGCGCATTAACGCCTGTCGTAAATACAACAGCAAATTCATAAATCACGAATTGTTTAAAAGCATCTACAAGTGTAATAATCGTGTATTCGTGTATTATATAGCGGTTACACGCGGCTACTTTTAGCAGCGATGCAAACGCGATGCAAACGCGATACAAACGCGATGCACGTTTTAAAATAATTAACTACTAATAATTTATTATTAGTAGTTAATATTATACTACTAATTTATTTATTTATTGTATTTATTAATTTCACTTTCAAATATACAATTAACAAAACAAAATAATGCGCGTAAACCTACACAGATTTTTCGTACATAATTATTCAACATAAGCGACTGCAATCGCGCGTTTTTACCGATGCAATCGCGCGTTTGTATCGATGCAATCGCGCGTTTGCATCGTTGCAGTAGTGCGTCTGCATCGATGCATGCGTTTCACGAACGCGCGTTTGCATCGGTGCTTAAAGCCGCCGTTTGTAACCACTCTTAGGGTCGTATTCCAGAACTCTACTCAATACTCAAGTCAGGATTTGAGCAGACTTGAGTATGATTTCGAGCACTGGCAATACGACCCTAATGGCAAGGACTTGAGTATGATTTTCAGTGCTCACTGCAATACTCAAGTCCTGACTTAAGTATTGAGTAGAGTTCTGGAATACGACCCCTAGTCATAAAAAATTACCTGTCACTAGTTTCAGCAGTGAACAGCCGATTGCTAACAGATCCAACAAGCGCAGGGACGCAAAACTCGTCTATGGTCAATGCAGCTTCCAATGCGACACAAAGGTTCTCTATGGCGGCATCTCGAAGTTTCTCGAATGGAGTGGACTTTACTGGAACACCCGTCTCTGTAAGGCCTTGTAACTCTTTGCCTTGTACTGAAAACATACACGGTACACTGCGCTAATTATATCTTCGAAGTCGTGTGTACCGAGTGCAGTAGCCTATGTATGAACTATACTTTTTTTCCATCAGACGTAACTTAACCGCGTAGTTGTGAAAATAATATCTTAGTATAATTAACTAAATTAGATGACGTCTCAGGCTCGATTCCTAATTTGGGAAATTAACTTTTATAATTGGTTCTGGTCTGGGTGTTCTGGTGCCCCATGCCCCAGATGCCCCAGTATTCCGTTGCTCTGGTACTCATAGTACAGGAATTCCATAGTTTGAGAATAAGATAATTCCATAGATTGATGTGGTTGTCTGGGACATATTCTACTCGATTTATCAATAATTTATGGATTTGAATGATCGTATGTTAATTATTATGAAATCGGCTACCAGGTAGTGCGCGAAACAGGATTCGCTACCCTTAAATGTGGAATATTTTTTTCAAATTTAAAAGGGAACAAAACTAAGGTAACCTCTTTCCAACAAAAAAAAAGAATCCTCAAAATCGGTTATCGAGTTATCGCGTAACATACTTACATACAAAAAAAATACAGTCGAAATAAGAACTTAGTCTTTAACCGACTTTTAAAAAAGGAGGAGTTTCGCAATTGGACTGTATGTTTTTTTTTCTTTCTTTTTTTGTACGTATGTCACGCGATAACTCAAGCATTTGTGAACCTATTTTGATGATCATTTTTTTGTTGAAAAGAGTTACTAATTTTGGCAACGTGTCATTCTAATCCAGGACTGGTATATTTACCACGTTGAAGTAATAATATTGTGGTTCAAAATCTATAAGAAGTTGTAATCGCTTTAGTAAATAACCACCATGTGTTAACCTTTTTCATAACATAAAGTGTCATCATTTGGACATACAATCCTTTGTAGCACGTATAGCAATACTCACGTGTAACTTTCATATGTTCCTTCCCGGTTTTCTCCAACTCCAGCTTGTGTAGTTTGAAGAGTATTGGCGAAGGTGTAACCAGGAAGTCTCGTAGGCAATATATCGACGTGTTCGCTATCGGCGGGAATTTCGTCGCTAACTTGCCTAGACCCTAAAAGGATTTAATGTTATGTCGTCGGTGTTTTGTAGAATGGGCGAAAGCGCCATTTCGAAAAAAATGTCAGGGGCATGTTTTCAACGTCTATTTTAAAATATTCACGTCCTCTTTTAATATTCAATTTTGGTTTTAGTTTAGTTCAAGTTTTAAAATTCTATTTAAAGCAGGACGTAAATAATAGGGGTTAAAGTATGAAATTGCCGATTTGTACTGAAAATCTA